TTGATTAAGCTGAATCCATGACTTTTACTTTGTCGAATTAATTCCCAGCTATTGTTTTTTTCTTCCTTTTATTCTATTATCATTGTTTGCTTTCAATGCCAGTGTAACCACTTTGTGTCTCGCCCTCCCTGTTCTCTCAGAACGAAATGAGCAGCGCCCCCTGCCGTCCGAAGCGTGAGACCGCACCGTGGCGTCATGCACGCATAAAGCTGCTGGGCCTCAGTGGTTAGTGAACACGTTTTTAATCCCACAGAGCCGTTTCACGCCCCTCTCAGTGATCACCAGATGCAATCACAACCGTAAACATTCACTTTTTGTGTGAATGATTGCGGGATTTAAAGCACATGATGTCCATCATATTTGTTGTTGTTGTTGTTGTTGTTGTGTGGAACAGGAAGTGGTACAGAGGCGGACACAATGTGACTGAAACAGTGTGGATGGGAGTCCTTATTAAAGCAGCCCGGTGATGGATGACTACAGACACTTTGGCCCAAAAACAGACACGTGCAGATTTTCTTTTTTTTCTCGTTAATTTACTCTTACCGGAAACCGTGGCTGACTCGTCATTTCTGGCTCATATTCTACATTTCTCCCTTCATCCAAATCAAAAAGCCTCCGCGCGCTCGTACAAGGCTTTTAAAGCCCCCAGTTTAGGGATGAAAAAAAAAAAAAAAAAAAAAAAAGAGAAGAAAAAGGAGGTCAGCCTGAGCCCGGCGGGATGAAGGGCAGCTGCTCCCTGACCGGTTCCCCCGTCACACCTACTGCAGCTCCGTTTCCAAAGGCATCCGGTTGGCGAGTAATTAATAGGAAATAATGATGTTGCCGAAAGGTGCGGCATCGCCACCGAGCACGTCAAGACCGGTGCATATTGTTGGCTGCATTATTAATCCCCTTTACTGTAAATGACACATTGATACTGACGACGATGATGCCTGGTCGCAGCGATGCGGGGCGCGCCTCGGCTGAATTAATAAAGGCCACGTTAATTATTTGAAACGTGAAAATATTCTTTTGGGTGCATTTTGGCATTCAATAATGCAATTTTTAAAAAATAAATAAAGAATGCACCCATCAGCTGTGCCATCAGGCTGTAAAGCAACACTGATCCTTTTTATTTTTTAATTATTTCATTTGCAACATGAATTTTCATGCACCAACTGTCATATTAAAAAAAAGAATCCTCCGACTCAGGTTATTACAGCCAGATAATGTAACCAGAGACATAACGCACTTGTCTGCCCAATTAGCTGAAACAATTATTACGACTTTGACTATAATTACGTCTCAATTTGAACCCTCGCGTCGGTCTATAACGCAGTGATTAAAACCCCTCTCTGCCCCCAGTGCCTTTAGGGCAGCGCGTGATTAGGACCTGTCAGCTGCTGGAGTGAACGGAGGCAGCCATGCGTGTTGTGCAACATGACCCGCTGTTGTTAAAGCTTGTCAACATATTAACCTGAATTCCCCAGTCATTATGGGCCGATGTGCACCGCATAAAGAGGGAAGATTGTACACATATGTGTAATTGAAAAAAAAAGAAGAATGTATATTAACAGGCAGCGTGAGGTCACATAATGTCCCAAGGCCTATAAATTCAGACAATAGGAGCTTGAATGAAAACCATGTTGACATACATCTGATTTAATAATTGTATAGGCTGCCTCAGACGGGAGGTAATACTGTCGTATAACTATTAAATCCTGTTGCTTTATATGTGATCTCAACAATCAGGAGTCATCTGATCACCCACGCCTGGACAAACAAAAGTAAAAAGGTTTGACGTGAGGGGGGAAATAGTGTTTTGGGAGGGCCAAAAGGGTTCATCTGAAGCACATTTGATCCTTGTCAAAATATATCGATTCCCGTTCTTTCGAGAGACAGTTGATGTCTTCCTTAATTCTTTCACCGGCCATCTGGACCAACTGACTCAGCAGACTCCCGTGTTGTCGGCCAATAAGTCAGGGACCTAATGAGTGCACTTAAAACAAAAACTACAAAAGTGATCTGTTGACATGCAATTGAGATATCACGCAACATTCCCCCCGGAATGATCGTCTTTCTTTTTCTTTTTTTTTGCAACAGATGACATCGCAGCGTTTCTAGTATACTGTACAATGCAAAGCAGGTGCTTCACATGCAGCACCCTGTTAAGGTGGGTGTTTGTTGTTGTTGCAGGAGTGGCCCGAGCAGACTGGGCCTTAGGTTTTTTCATACGAATTTCCCCTCAGCCACAATCAGTGCAGCAGAGGTTTTCCTTTGGTGTATCCAGAGGTGAATAATTTATGGGAGGATAAAAGCGTTTGTGGTAGAGAGCTAGACAGTCAGACAGTAGAAGGAGGCTGGCTGGGATTCCCCCCCTCCAACCTCTCAACACACACACACACACACACACACACACACACACACACACCCCATCTCAACCCTCCCACCCCGCCCCAGCTGAGCTCGACCCCCTTGTCGCGCGGTGGCCTTGCACGATACGCCTCCTCGGACGGCTGCTTGAAGTGCAAATCTGTGTTCCAACTTGTTCCCGGTGCCTGTCAGCATGTTTTCCTCTTGTCAGCAGCGATCGAGCACGGGCCCGTGTCACCCCTTGTACCACCGCTGTAACGGGATCATTGACGGGCCAGTGACACTGCCCAACCACATAATGGAAACCTATTGATTTTTTCTGCTTTTTTTTTCCCCCTCACACAGGCAGTCTGTGGCACTACTGAACAACTGGCAGAAGGACAGGTCGTGATCAATGGTCCTGACCTCGGGATCACTGCTGCCACATGCAACTGAATGGGGGAGTAACACAAAACCGCTGACAAAAAGTCCTATGATGGTAAACACACACATGGCATCATTAAAAGAAAGACATAGTAATCAAATTGAATAACTGAAAATGTAAATTACACGTCGGTAGCCGACAAACACACCAAAAACACAAAGCTATCCAAAGTTTTCCAGTGTTCCCCATTTCAATGTTATAAATCAAAAAGCAAGTGTTGCAGGTCTTCTGTGTTTTCTGCATACAGGGGTTAGATTTGCAGTTTTAATGGAGCAATCTCCAGAGAGGAGGCCCCTTTGATACCCATGGCGATGATAAGCATGCATTGGCTGCCTACCATTGGACCCCCGTGGCAGATGGCGAGTGTGGGTCCTGCAACAACACATTTCTTTATGTCAGCCTTGTCCCTCTCTCTCTTCAGCCAGTGGAATAATGAAAAGCCCAATTCTGGTCATGGCTAACTCAATCTCATTATAATCTCCCTTTTTTTATTCATTCGGCCCCTTGGGATGCTGTCTGCCAGCAATGTGCCTTTCAACCTCCAGAGAGAACATCTTTTGAAACAGCCAGGAGACCTAATGAAGTCACAGAGTGGCACAATTATTTCCCAAAGAAGGAGCATTAATGTACTTCAAAATTCCCTCCGGAGACACGTGATGACAATTGGTTTGTACAGCTTTGATCGCTGCTTTAAATACTGCCCAAGATAAACTGCGGGGTTAGCCCCCTTTGCCACTGGTAAGTAGAAAACCCAGGAGTGGCTATCAAGCGGCGGATACATCAAATACTCAGCCTGGAACGCTAAAAAACTGGAGTTTAAAACAGCACATAGCCTAAAAATCACTTCCTGTTGGGAATAATGGTGCAACATCACAGTAAAATCTCTGTGTTTGGCCCAAAACCATTGCAACAAATAAAATAGGCCCGTGTGTTTGAGGGCAGGCGGCAACCTCCGGTTCTGCCGAGTGAAGCCAATGCAGAAGTGTCTTAAAACTTGCATTGTCTTTACCGGGCAGCAGGGGACGACTCCTCTGATTGTATAGAAGTTCATGAAAAAATGACTCTACTTAGTGGTCTCTAATAATGGTCCATTTAGAGTCAAATAGATCATAAAGCAGGCGGGCTTACTGTGACTGACAGGTAGTTGCCGCTACCAGAGCCGTATACGGCGTCTCTACGTCACTCCTCAGCATTCAAAATATAGTCACTTCTGTTCAGCGGTTGCAAAAAGTCAAGATGGCAACGGCCGTAATCCAAGATGGCGACGGCAACGTCGCCAAACTCGAGGCTTCATAACGGCAGTCCACAAACCAGTGGGTGACGTCGCGATGACTACGTCCACCGTGTACGGTCTATGGTTGAGGGGCAGGGAACGGTCCATCATGAAAGGGTCAACTTTTAATCAGAACTTTCTCTTGAGATGACACGATGCATTTTCAAACCCAGTTTTCACGCAAAGCCGTCATCACAATCCACCAGAAATGCATCTCGTTTTTATGGTGCTAAAATCTTTGTTTTATCGTTACTGCAATAGACGTACTCCCACACATCACGCTGGTCAAATAGTGCCGCCAGTATCGACACTTTCGTCTTTTCTTCATGATGGCGACGTTTAAAGGTTCCTTAAAAAGGGACAGTTCACCCCAAAATCAAAAACACATACAGTACATCTCTAGATTGTTTTGGTGTGAGTTGGCTCGTTTTGGAGATGTCAGCCATAGAGAAGTCTGCCTTCTCTTCAATATTACGGGACTCGATGGTAATTGCATGTGCAGTTTTGTGTAGGTACTACAGCTAAAGGAAAAATAGTTCCAACATAAAACTGCTCACAACAAGCTCTGTGGATAATCTGGAGCCACCGGGTCATGATTTCTGAAAAAAAGACACTTTGAGCACCACAAACCAGGGTTCTAGTCCTATTGTGTTGTTCTAGTCCTATTGTGCTGTTCTAGTCCTATTGTGTTGGAGAGAAAGCAGACATCTCTACGGCCAATGTCTCTAAAACTCTGCAAGTCACACCAAAATAATCTAGATTGATAAATAGCACTTCAGGTAAGAGGAAACTTGTTTTTTTTGCTTCAGTTTCTGCTGCCCAAATCATAAAATGCATCACTTCCTTTGCCACATTCCCCCCTCCTTAAAACAGACACTGGAAGTTTGGAGCAGCAAAAGTTAAGTCATTACCGTGTTTAAACTTAGTCAGTATTGTCACATCCAGAGTGACTGAAGGAAGCATAACGATCATTTATTGACATGAACATATGAATTATTATTTTAATACAGATATAGGAGAATAAAATGGAAAAGCACTGATCATACATTGGGATGATGTCCTTGTCCTTCCCATGTGTCTGGTTGGCTCTCCATATCGAGTTTCCAAAAATAAACCTAATGAGATTAAATGTGATGATGAGAAATTCAGCGCGGCCGTCCTTTCATTACGATTTCACTGGCCTTCTTATTCACCCTGACCTCGACTGTCCAACGACTTTTGGCTCTACGTTCTCTTCTGTTTTCTAAATCAGACAGCTTGCTCACTGGAGTCAACCCTTTGGTCCGCTCCACCAGCACCGCAGTAGATAACCTCAGCAGCCCTCGGTACTGTTCTGCATATATCCTCGATATGAAGGGGCCACGGTACCTACATTGCATATTTGATAGAACTTAACATGGCATCACTAATAAATGCTTTAGTTTATCTGGCTGATCTAAGAAAAATTCACGTTATTTAAATTTAGTGACACTTTCAAATCATGCAAGTTTACTATTAATGTCACTGATTTCTATACAAACATCTACAAAATGTTGCATTTGAATCTGAGCAAGTCTAAAAACTATCAAGCCTGAGTAGGGAAGTGAGATATTTTATAGGAAACCATAATTATATATTAGGGAGCACTACATATCTACAAATTTAAAAGAGTTGAATATTTAAAAAAAAAACTAACAAATAGATAAAATTATATTTCTTTGATTTAGTTAAATCTTTAAATCCTTACATTAGAGTTGTTATCATGGGATAGGCATTGCTGAAATAAATATACACATTCATATTTATATTGGTGCTATAATGTGTATTAATGGTTTCTTTCTAATACTGAACTTTAAACAAAAATAAAGTTGTTATCAGAATTGTGAAGTTTGACTCAAAGAAGGACAAACTGTAGCTGTGATCTTCCAGTGTTATAAAGTCTAAATAGTAACCGACCCGACCAAGAACCACCAATTTTTGAGCTTTCGGAAATACAGAGCTGCCACAATGAGAAAATAAATAATTCTAACAACACGTTGTTGTTATAACGGGAAAAGGTTTCCCGTTATAACTAGAGAGTATTCCTCATTATAAAAAGATGTCGCTATCGCGGCTGTAATGAGAGCCAGATTTCAGAACCTGCGCTGATGGGTGAAGGTTAAGCAGGAGAACAGTGACAGAACAAGCTGTCCCAACATAATGAATGTCGCTTTGATTAAGAGAGATGCTCCCTCTGATGCAGGCGCAGGGAGGTGAAATCCCACAAAGCATCCGCGAGCTAGCGACAGCCCCGCGCACACCGCTCAACAACGAGAGCGCCGTTTGATTTGATGTCGTCTCTAGAAGAAAGCGAGGCGTGAACTCAATTGAAACACTCGTGTGTTTTGCCAATATATGCATGCTCCTTTTAACTTTTGTTGTGACAAAAAACTAAAAAAATCTCATAAAAAGAGAAGTAAGCTATTGAGAAATGTTTCTTTTTATAATGAGAAATGTTCTGTTTATGACATTAAAAAGTTACAAGAAACTGAGATATTTGGATATTTTGTCATTATAACAAAATGCTTTTTAACAAGGCACTTTTCTTTGTCATGACAAACACAGGAGAACAATGGTTTTCTAACAATGGCAGTTCTGCACTGCCAGATCAGCTTCAATAGCGTCAATAAAGATAAATCCTACAACTTGGATTAGCTCAGTTATAAGGCAAAGCATATTAAATATCCTTTGTAACGTTTTTGCTAATATATACAATATTATCAATACACTACTTTTATTAAGCAGTCTAGATTAACTCTTATATATTCCTAAAAACAGGTCTAAAACAATGTGTTGATGATGCGTAGAAACAATGTGCAAATTCAGGCCGCTGGACGTTCGACAGGTAAAACTCTACTCCAGGTCTGGGCGCTCACGAGACATCCTCGTGTGTATTTTGTGATGAAGACCCAGAACCTCAACCATCCCGGTCCCTGAGTGGGGCACGCTGGTGTGCAGTAGGTGCCTCTGTAAGTGCTTGATCCAGTCCTCCTGGATAGACAGGGGACCCTGGAAGACCAGGTCGCAGAATCTGCAGAGAGAGGGAGGAGGAGCCAGTCACTGTTTCTAGAGTCGATGCACAACTTCAGTGTGGAAAGCTTTGTTTTATTGCATCGATTGTATTACGAGTATCGGGCAAAGGTAAATTATAGCGTTATCATGATGTGGTCGAACGTAACCTAGTCAAATAATATTGACGAAGATGTGGAACTATAGATTGAGACCATAAACTTATGTTCACAATGTTTACTGAGGTAATAATTGAAGTGAGAAGTAGGGTCATTTTCTCATAGAAGTCTATACAATCTAACTTCTTTTTGCAACCAGAGGAGTCGCCCCCTGCTGGCCATTAGAGAGAATGCAGGTTAAAGGCACTTCTACATTGGCTTCAATATTCAGAACCGGAGGTTGCCGCCTGATGCCGTCATCATTTCAACAGTTCTGCCAATCGCAATGTGGTTTCAAGCACTTTCTTTAGGGAGCGAGTGCTTGGAGATGCCCAGCGGCAGCTACTCTAACAGAATTCTTGGGTGTCCCAGATAAGGAGCGGCTGGTCAGAGTTTTGACTGCTGTGCTGCCTTACATCTCCTCATCTCTTCCATTTGGGGCCTACATATGAGATACGTAACTGGGTAGGGAGCTCTCTTGCTTACATATGTAACCTTCACTTGCATGTACCTGCAGGAGAGCGTGTAAATCTCAGAATTCAAGGAGGGTAGCATCTTCTTCTTCAGCCCAGGCCTTGGCTTCTTCGGCTTGTAATCGTAGCCTAAAAAGACAAAACATCGCTTTATCTGAAATGCATTATGTAATCACCGACAAGAGGCATAAATAAATAATCCAAATATTGATTTTTACTATTCTAGTCAACATCCATCATGAGACATCACACGTATTCACTTCAATCCTGTGCTTCCAGCACACTTTTGGTTGCACGGCACAGGAAACACACATGTTGACATTTTGCTACACGCGTATCGTCATCGACGTACCTGGTCCTTCAAATATGGCAATCCTCTTCCTTTGTGCATAGGCTTGAAGATGACCAGGAAGCACGGGAAAGGCTCCGTTACACTGAATACAAATCGTATTCGAATCGCATTCCCCTGAAAGATGAAAATGTTGAAAAAATTAAACTCAACGAGAACAGGGCAAGTGGATCATATTTGATTATATTTTTCTATTTGATTGGATGATGTTTTTGAATCAAGGTTTTAAGATTATCCGTAGTGCGACACTATAATTTAAGGAATAAAGCATTGTGGGAGGGTGTGTGAGTTCACGCCGTAATTTTATTATCAAGCAAAACTGTTACTCCCAGTGTGCTCCTCCACCTGCTTTCAGTCTAAGCATCTGATTTGTACTCTCCTGTTTGAAAAGTGTTACATGGTGAAGTTTAACACAATTTTGTGTCTTCAGGGGGGGGGGCGTATGTTTTCACATACACCGGAGTCACAGAGGATTCATAAACTACTCAAGAATATCACAGACGTGTTAGTCCTCTGACAGTGGCAGTGCTGTGCCCCATCGCCTGTTAACCACAATATTTGTCGAGTAGTAATCCCAAAAGATCTCTCAAAATTAAAATGATTTTTTTTTTTGTTCCCACTAAACTATCTAAATATTGATAAAAAATAAGTTCTGTATTTTCATGTAATTTGCGAGTGATGATGCTATGTGAGCGACAACTCAGTGATGAAATAGCATTATAATTAACACCCTAAATGGCATACGAATAATTTAATCTAAATCAGCTTTCAGGATCGGACACGCAGAGAAAGACATCTTCTGGAGAACATTACAGCTCGACAAAGAGCAACGTGATGTTTACATCTCCATCTCATCTTTATCTCAGTACCCGGCACTGAAAGTTGGATTTGGACAGACATTAAACAAAATTGTGGAAACACGGATGACGGGCTTCCAACTAAACATCAAGAGGATCTCATGATTTTTTAATATGAACTTCAAAAGCACTTTGGCGACATTCAATCTACCGTATTTGTGTGTTGTTGGTGTTTTTTCCATAAAAATCAAATGATTGTGAACTATTGTTTAACTGGCAGTATACAGCGATCTGTGGAGAGATACTGGAAAAATGTATAAAATATTGATGACAATCAGAGGCCTGAACGTTAGCGTGTACACAACACTGTGATAGAGTGAACTTCCCTGTAGTAGAACAGGGCTAAACGTGTTAAATGTGTATAGGAATAACACATGGATGATCTATTGAGTAGTCATGACCTTCCCAGGTAAAGGGTGGGGGAGCTTGTATTGAAATGCTTCTTATATCGTATGAGTGGTTTTGCCAAATATCTACAAATCAAGTATACTTTACATTAAACCATTTACCACATTGTTAAGATTAGTTTGCTACTGTACCACCTCTTCCTGTGAGAATCTACTTGCAGAGACTTGTGATGCTTAAACATGCAGAACCAGCCATGTTTATGAAACCGTTGGAACATGAAGTTGCTATTTTGCTCGTGCATGAGACTCCATACCATGAGCCCAGTTTGGTTCCTCCGTGTAATCTTTGGTGAAATCAGGGAGCTTCCTGGTTGCGTGGGGTTCCTGGTCGCTTCTCGCCGAGAGCTCCATACTTTGCCGTCTCACCTTGAGCAGTTCAACTAAAGTGCTTGAGGAGGCCTCAGTGCCTCGTTGTGCTTCTACCTGAAGCCTCCTATCTGAGAGGGCCTCTGCTTCCTGTTTTGGTACAAGGCTGTCCAACATGGGACGCGGACTCCTCATCTCAAACTGGATTTTCACTGGGATGCCCATGCGCATCAGGATCAGGCCATCGCTGCTGATCCGTGAGGGGAATTGGCTCTTGTTGAGGACCTGGACGATGTTCTGATGTTCCTTTTTGTCCCGCAGCAGTTCGTTTAGGATGCCCAGCGGGGACTTGCCGGTGCTGGTAACACTTCTACCGATACGCTTCAGGTGTCCCCTCACGTGGTTGGAGAGGCCGGTCTTAGTAGCGAACCAACCCCAGCACAGGGGACATTTGTGTGCTCCTTGGGTTTCTGGCTTAACAGCTGTAATGTCAGATGAGATTTGTTAAAAAAAAAAACATTGTAATGAAAGAACAAAAACACAAAGCCAATATTCATGATATACCGTTTTGGATTGCTCTGTAATGGACAAGCCTTAAAAGGTTCTATAAACGGGATTCAGAGCATTAATATAGCAGCAAACAACTAATTGCTGTGTAAATATATAGTGGAGGAACGTCCACTTGAGCAGAGAATGAAGTCACTCCCTCTGTGTGTGTTGTAATCGGAGCTTCTTGTACATAGATGGGACGTGTCCCATTGGTTAGCCGACGGTCACCGCTCTGCACTGATCATATGACGGTTGCAGCTGATAACGCCGCCCCAACCGATGGCTTTGTCGCAGAAGCGTAGCGCCCACCTCCGGTTCCCCCTCAGGTAAACACACTTGTTTGCACTTTTTTGAGCTTTTAGCACCGTTAGCTTCTAGCTGCCGGCTCAGCCGTGCCATGTTGTGCAGGCATTAGATATGCTCTGAATTCCGTAATGACAACATTTAATAAAACAGGATCACGTAATGCAGCTGTCCATCTAAAGCGCCTATCATCGTAATGTAACCAAAAAAGGGGTTGCTCATTGTAAACATACAGAAGAATTACCACTGGAGCTTTATAGTGAGTTTCTCCCAATGGCAATACAAACACATTGAGAAGCAGGTATAATGGCTGCCATGTTCACTTTAGCATGTTAACATTTGCCAATTAGCACTTACACAAATTGCATCTGAGGCTGATGAGAATGTCGTTAGCTTTGCAGGTATTTGGTCATAAACCAAATTATCAACAGGGATATTTCAATCTGAAGTGGTGTGTAAGCGTGACATGTGACAGTACACGATCTTCCACAACCCTGACCTTTGACCTCCAGATCCAAAGATTGGATCAAATTTGAATACAAAACCCCCCCTTTTGTCTTGACTTGTCAGCTCAACTAATGTCATGGTAAATCAAACACCGATACTTGTACCTTTACTCATTCTCCTCATGCCACTGGGGATCCTTCTGCGGATTCGTGGCTGATGGTCCCGCAGTGCCACTTGCTCCGGCGAGACCATGTGCCGAGCGTTGTAGCTCAAGCCGACTCTGTGGAGGTGCCCTCGCACATGATTGGACAGGCCCACTCCGGACTCAAACATGGCCGGGCAGTAGGGACAGCGCCTGTGTTCCACCCCTGGTGTGGGGGAAACACCAGAGCTGTCCCCTGTGGACATACAAGGCGACTCTGGGGAATCGCCACACGCTGTGGTTTCGATATACTCCTCCTTGATTATGAGTTGCTCTATGTCACTACAGTCTTCACCTCCATCCTCCTCATCCTTGAGCACAAGAGAGCTTTGGTCTTTGGCTGAAAACCTCTGCCTCTTTGTGAAGTACCTCCGAGCGTACGGGTTCCTCGCATCCTCGCTTTCCAAGAAGCTGCCTGCAGCTCCACTGGTGTCGTCACTGCTGCCCTCGCAGCCTTTCTCCATCTCCTTATCTGCAGACGGTTTCCCGAGCCTCTGGCAAAACCGTCCCGATATATTACCATTCGTATTGTCAATAGTGTTACGCAAGGGCGTTGGCATGTTTCTCACTGACTGAGAATAATGGTTCGCTTGCGCTTGTAAGCTCCCGCTTGCCGGGTCGTTCTTGCCACCCTGACAGAACATCTGGTCTAATTTAAGATTTCTGGCTGATAGTAAGAAATCGGCGGTCGCAGGACAGGTTGCCTGCTTTGAGCTGCCAAAAGCCTTGCAGTCATTGTTTGCAGAGTCTTCCTCCACGCAGGCGAGATCAGTTGCCACATCTAATTTTTCTACTGGCTGCAGGAGTAGTTTTCCATGCCTGTCGACCCTCCACAAAGACGGTGACAGCCTGTTTTCGGTGCAGTCGACACGGAACTTAAACTGAGGAGAATTTACAGTTTTGTCGTTGGACTTTTGAATGTAAAACTCCCCTTTTTTACAAGAACGCTGGGGGAAATGGGCCGTTTCTCCAAGAGTCGACTTATGCAGATTCGGTTCGGGCTGGTCGGCGACCTTTTTATAATTACCAAGCGAACGCAGACGCTCCAGCTCAGAATGTCTTTGCAATACTTCATCGTCTTTGCTCGGGAAAAAACACGCTTTGCGCCGAAGCTGAACACGGTCCGCTTCCCCGTCCTCATTAGCGCGAGTCATTTCCCCGCGTTGAGGCCTGTGCGTGTCGAAATGCGCGACGCTCAAGTGGGCTTCGAGTGCCTGCTGTGTCAGCGTAATGTAGTTACACTCCTCGCAGAAGTAGTAGTGCTTCAGATTATCGCACGTTTTGGCGTGCTGGACGGAGATTTTAGGGCAATCGCAACCGGATGCGCACCGAGGGCAGTGCACTGTGGCGCCCCCGTCTTCCACTTCGGCGTTTTTGAGATCTTTGATTCCCTCCAGAAGTTTTTCCAGCCTGTATCTGTGAATAATGATGTGCCTCATGAGGGAGCTGCTATCACAGAACAAACGCCCACACTCCCTGCATATAAAGGGCTGCGAGACGTTCTCACTGTTCACCTGATTATGCTTGCCTAAATGATACATCATATGTCTATGGAAATGTCTCCTCTCCTTGAAATTAACATTGCATGTTCTGCATGAAAAGAAAAGTGGATCTCGTTCGACTTGTTCCGTCCTCAACCGTTCCACTTTTGAGCTGCAATTGTCTTCATCTTCAGGGTCATTTTCCTCATTACAGCCTCCCTGTGCTGCCGTGCTATAAATATGGTGCTGCGAGTCTGACGCCGTGTTCCCAGAAAGATCTTTGAGTGGCACCACAGAATATTTAATATCAGATCGGGCACCCAAAGAATCATCTTGGTTGGCGACGTCAACGTTTCCAACATCACTGCAGGAACAGAAACGTCTGTATGTGCGATTTAAGCTGCTGTTAACCTTTTCCAGAGAGCCTGACATGCTTTTTGCATGTGTGTTGTGCTTCCTGTCCCCTTGGTGCATCACTCTGGTCTCCAGCCTTCTGTCATTGTGCAAGAAGAGCTCCCTTGCTGAATCCCACCCGACCGCCTTGGCGTCGTCGTAATCATCCGAGGAGCTCTCTGACCGTTCTACGCCCCGGCGAGATCTTGTTTTCGTGGTCTGCTTTGTCAAAGGTTGGCTAATGTGCATTTGCTCCGTGCCGCCTGCACCCGACAGTGTGGGACAGGCCAGTTTGGACTCATTCTCCTCCGAGTGAGACAGTGGCGTGTTGACACCTGGCTGTGTGGCCAGTGTTTTCACGACGGACCCCGCTGTGTTCTTCCAAGCGTCTGATTGAAGCTCACTAGGTGGTGGTAACACCTCGGGGCTCGTGTCCTTCCCCGCTTGCCACGCGGCATCCAGGACATTGTTGGATAAAACAGTGCCTTTGTTCAGGACACAGTGTACCTCTGAGGTGGGGTGTGAACCAGGTCCATTAACAAGTGCTCCTGAAGGCAATGAATTGCCTGCATGGGGAACAGCGGGGACCCCGCTGTATACAAATGGATTCGGCTGGGTTCCATTTAAAAGGTTTTCGTGTTCATCCGAGGACAGACCTGCAGCATTATTCTTCGGGGAGAATGTGTGACTCTGTAATGGCTCCTGAGTTCGACCTGGGCTGTCAGACACCCGTTCCACGTCTTTGTCCTCTCGTGTATTTCGCCCCAGATCAGACATAGCACCAATACGTTCTGAAAACATGAAAGAATATCACAAATTTATCAAGTGCACTTCATATTTCTATTCATTTCAAGCCAGCCGTGCAAAGCCGGCATCGCTTACAAGCCTAATATTTATTTTACTCATGTGCAGTGTTCAACCATCCGAAGACAATTTGCAGGAGGAAATAATGCAGATGTAAATTACAAAATGAAACACTCTTGCACAACAGGTTTAATAAAGTCTAGCTCATTTTTTTCACACTGATAATGTGGTGCTGTTAAAAAACAAAAAGTACTTTTCTCCATAAAACAAGAGCGGTATTATTCTGTGCCGCATTCTGATTTCCCCAACACCCTCTTTCGCCACCTCTATTCACAACAAACCCTGCTGTTAGCCCTGAATACCCTGGCGAAGATGCTTAATTATGTGAGCGTACCTCTGGGACACAACCTGCCCTGCTTCTCCGCCTAAAGTTCTCAGTCGTCTGCTAAAATTGACCAATTTCCATGGGAACAAAGTACACCTCCAATGAGATCATATTGCGTCTTATCACTCTGTGATGGTGCCAACACGGATCCCAGCATGAGACTGTTGTTACTCGAATCCTGACAAATTGGCAGGCACACAATCTGTCTCAAACACAAACACAGGCCCGCATAAAGAAAAGATTACGCCTTTGCGCACACACATTTAAATCATACTTTTTTAACAATTATTAAATAAGATCATAATCAGAATGTGATTGAACGTGTGTAAGCTGCATCTTGTGACAGATGACAATGTGCTGTCTGGAGTTCATTTAGTTCAAAATGTCCGCTCAGTGGGTTTCGACATCCAGGGCTGGTCGCTCTCTACAGGAAGCTGCGTTGCTAACGAAGTGGTAAATTCAGTGTTAATGAGTGGCTTCACTGTTACCACCTCCGAGGTAAAACCTTCCGAGCTCCATGTTCGCCCCATCTGTTGTGGTGTAAAAAGGTTGGAAGGGGGAACAGACGCTCTCCATTTAAAAGCGAACTTCACTGTTACCCCCAAACGGTGGGGTGGCAAAACCATCAAAATATCTTGGTTGGAGATGTGTGCAAAGCCTCATTAGCAGCCAGCTCACACAACACTTA